TTACATTGTGCAGCTTTACAGTAGAGGACTCCTGATTATGAGCAACAAAGACTCAAAACTGCATTCATATGAAAAAGAAAAAGAAGAAGATATGAAAAATAAAACATAAGCTTCTTCCCCCAAAATGCTCCACTCAAATATTCTACTGGTTTACAACAAACATCAAAAATTAAACAAAACACTACACAATGGTATTATTTTATCGTACAAATGTTCTAACTGTCCTCACTTTATATGGTGTAATCAATACACATTTTCATTGTTCCTGAAAACAACATTGGGTGGGAATGAAAAAAGTGAATGTGAAATATATTTATTGCCACAGAAAGAAAACAGGTTTATGCAAACTTATTTCTAGCAATGGCAAATTCATTTCAATTAAATAATAAATATCATAGCTACAATATTAGAAGTATTACTGATGATAGCTATGACAGTGTCTAATTTTCAGAGGCAAATTTATCATAATAATAGTTTTTACCTAATTCATAAGGACATTGTGAGGATTCATTAATATTTATACTCTTTAATGCTTAGGAAATAATAATAATTAGATTATTTTATTTTTTACATAACTAATTAGAGCAATTGGAGCCACAATCACAAAACCTTTCTATTCCACATAACCAGCTTTGAATAAATAGAAAAAATAGTAAGATTATTTCTTTAAATAATGTGGTTTGGTTTTTTTTGTTTTTTTTGTTTTTTTTAACTTCATGCTTTAAACACAAAGTCCAGGGTTTGGACTGGGTGTTTCTGCAGTCTCTTTGGTCCCACCACTCCCATGAAAACAAATACTAATCTCACCACAGAAACCACCCTAAAACACTTGCTCTAATTACAACAATGATTATTTCTTTGCAGCTTTCAGCATGATAAGATGCATTCCTTTAACTGTAAAACAGGTAATAGCAGCCTCTGGATCAGCCATAACTGTCTCTAAGCCCTAATGGTTGTTTGGAAGATTCTGCTGTTTGATTGCTATTAATCAGCCAGGATTTCCTGTGTGTAATTGTTCTTAACTAGCTCAAACACAGTAGTGGACTGGTAAATTGGCAGTGAAGAACAAATAGCTTTAAGGAGAACCTCGGCCACTTTATTTCCCCTCCTGCATTACAGTGACAGCTATTCATAACAAAGGCAATTAAATATTCTCTATTTAATGCCTCACCATGTCACTCAAGAAAATCACTTTTATTCTCATTTCCTTTCTTCTACTTTTTTTTATCACCATTAGATGAACTCCACTGGCTGACTCCAATGAGCACAGAAAGCTACACAAGCCCGTGGGGGTTGGTTACTCATCATTATTCTTAGCTCATCACTCTCCCACTCGCAGAAATGCTACTGGATTTATTCATTTAAGAGGTGGTTTGACACTTGTCTATTTAGGAAATGCCTTTTGGAGACCACAGAGACCCACAAATGTGATTCCAGCCCAAACATCAGAGACCTCTGTGTCTCTCTGGGAAGTATGCAGGGAGCATGAATCTCACCCAGCAACACTAGTAGAGCCACATGTGGGGCAAGGGTGGCTTTGACCTGACACCAACAGGGACAGCCTTGACCCTCTGCACATTTCTGCTGAGATGCTGTGGCTAAACCCCAATTTGCTTCTGTGTTTTAGGGTTACTGAACTCTACAGCCAGAGCCCCACACACTTGTTTTGGGGAAAGATGGTTTGAAATCACAGATTCTCCATGGGTATACTTATTCCCAGCCCTTTCCCAAAACCTCACCCTGTGGTTTCAGCCTCGGGTTGGACCTTGCTGTAGTTTAAAGACAGAAAACCCAACCAAACAACAGAAAAATTACAAGAGCATTTTAGCCACAGAAGCCTGGCGCCTTCCCTATGACCTTTCCAGAAAAAAGATCAAATCTTCTGTGTTTGAGGTTAGAAAAGCTCCCTATTAGCACAAGGCTTACCCAGAATATTGCTGTCTGAAAGATTAAACTTCTGTAAATATAAGCACTGCAAAAAAACATTTTGAATGAAACCTGACAGCCCGACTAGCCACGAGGTACCCACGCCCATCTCACAACCACCTGCCAGGCTTCCTGGGATAAACATGTTTTAAGGAACACGCTTTAATACATCCTCCTTTAAGATGATGAAGTGATACAATAGGAAAATACACATTAGTTGCTTCTGTATCTTTGCAAAATAGGTTTCTGTCCGTTCAGAGATGTGTCAATCAAATGTGGGTGTCACTGCTGTTACAGACCCAACACTGAGCACAAATGCTTCTATGCAAATAAAAGGAAAAACCTTAGAAGGAAGTAATTACTGGCTGGAAATTATTTTATAGCATTCTTCTTAAAAATATTTCACTTCATTGCAGTGAAACACTATGCTTTTCTATGTTGTTTATTCCTAGATGGTATTAAGAAGAGGGTGAATCCATTCATATTACAATGGAGAGAAATTCTTAATTCATGCAAAGTATATTAAGATATTTTACACATATGTATGTGCAGCACAACTGTACTGTGTTAAAAAATGATTAAAACATCAATATCCATAAATAATCAAAAGGCAGGACCTGTCAGTTTTAGAAGGCAAAAAATAAAGCAGCACTTTCTGACATCTATACAATAAGTACACAATAATTTCAAGGAATTTCTTCTTTGCCAGCATTTGTAGAATTAAACTTTAAAAAATGTCCTTTGCCAACACACTTCCTTCTGACTTTGCAACAAGGACAACTGCCCAAGGGTTTGCTAATCAATTTCTTGTGCTGCAGAAAACAATGTAATTTGAATTTTGTCCAAGAATACAATTTGAAATGCAGAAAATGAGAAAAGCCAACTAACATGCAATTATTTGTAGCCACAGTCTGCATACCAAGTGAGAAGAAAGCAAAATAAGTAATTTAACAGTTATTGCAACTTTAATAGGGAACCACCCATCACAGTTTTAGAATGCAATATTCAAGAGTGAATTTTACTACCCCTCCATCAGCATGCTTCTTAAAAAAAACACATCTTTGTATGCTCTATAAACTTGAATCTTAAAGGAAAAAGAAGGGGGTTTAGTTTTGCTTTGTTGTGTTTCAGAAGACTACTTCAGGAGCTCTTATTGTCATAATCTCCTATATGAATACTTGAACAATTTGCAGTGCTGTCTTACACCAAATACATGTCTAGACACATCCTGAAATCTTTCCAAGGTCATATTTCCAGCTTGCCATATCAAGATTTCCCTTCTGGAAGAAGACATGGTGTGAAGAAGGAAGCACCTTGGCTGTGTTCTGGTCTCTTCTCCAGCCAGGTATCTGCAGCACCAACCCCCCTGTTTTGCCTGCACCCCAAAATCACAGATACATAAGCACTGAAATGTAGAGAGGAGGATGTGGAGGAAATGCCTCCAATCTATCCCTTTTCCCTCCCCATCTTCCTCTTCCTCCATTGCCTGCATCAAGTGTTCCTCTGCAGGGGGAACAGAAAGTCTGGGCTTCAAAAGCCTCTGTAACTTTGCCTCTTGCAGATATTCTCTATGTGCAGCCCTCGATGGGTAAAGGCTGAGAATAAAAAGATAATCATAGAACTATTCAGGTTGGAAAATAATTTCTCACTACTTTTTAGGAATGTAATTTTTTTTTTCTGCTGTTATATTTTTTCTTTTCTTTCTGATCTTCTTTCCAAATTTCTTCTCTCATCCTCAGAGGAACTGAGGAAGCCCTCACCACCTGGGGCTCTTCCAGCTTTGCACAATGCATCTGAGCAGTGGCAGCACAGGGTTGCCACAGCCAAAGGCCAACCTCCACTGAAAGAACTGAATTTTACAAAACACCTCTGGTACACAAGGCAGGGGGGCTTTCAGGGAAAGGCTTTGCTTGCCCAGTGCCCATCAGGCTGTCTTCCCCATGGTTAGATTTAACTTCCCACTCCCACATCCACCTCTGTCTAGAACTCTGCTAAGCTCTGGGTAAGTGAAGTTGCACCAACAACCATTTCCCAGCAAAAAAGTCTTTAAGATTTACCCCTAAGGTTTCTGATACAATTTTATTCTGACTTCTTCTAATACCAGGCACAGTTATCCAGACTTTTATACCAGTGTGAGTCATGAATAACTGCAGAGACAACAATAGAGAAATCAGATGAGCAACAGAGCCACAACCTCCTACTACCTAGAGGACCAACAAATTTCCTTTGGATAATGGCTAAAACTAGATTTATTTTATGGAAGAAGATTTACAGTTGCTAGTGAATGAATTACTTTCATTTTGAGGAATAGGAGCAATTGTAGATTATGGAAACAAAATGTATGGGGCTTATACTTCATTCAAGTAATACAGCAGAGCTATCATTCAAACATTTCAGGTCTTATACCAGAAGAATTTAAAAAGAAAAGAAATACTATTCATGGCCAAAAAACTGCTTCCCATGTGTCTGATTCTTTAGTCATCGTTTTAAAATGACTCATTACACTTTTCTCTTTTGAAGTTTGGTCGAAAATTCACCCTAATCTAAAACTTCGTGGCAACCCAACAGTGATTTCTTACAAATGATTTATACCTAAACCTCTGAAGAAAAGGATTTATAATGAAAGTGATAGCTCAACCCTAACTGCAGCACTGGGAATGGTGACACCATAATTAATGTATTATTTCAGTTGTGGGAAACACTGACAGTTGCTCTTTGTTCTTGGGAAGAAATTTATAGTGTGACTGAAAAAGGCACCATAGGGGAAAAAAAGTAAAAAAAAATCACTCAGAAGAGGAATAGAAATCCTTGTAGCAAAGACATGTCCTTACAATCCCCCTTCCAAAGCCTATAAAATCGTGGCAATTGCAGTGTTTTCTCTACAGTGTAATTTGTACCTTTCTCCTCTACTAGATGGCAGCATGACATGCTCTCAGAACATCCAAGTGAGGGGTTTTCTTTCTTTGTTTCATAGGAAGCAATTAATTAAAAAGGTCATACTAATGTAATAGAAGTGGGGGGAAAAAAAAGCCCACCACTGGCTGTATATTTTGTAATAAAGTCTATTTACTTACTGGCTCAACATTAAAAGCAAAAAGTGCGTATTCCCGGTCAGGTGACACTTCGTATCGAATGGCCTTTAAGGAGACCTAGAAAACAAATCAGAAATGGAAATAAATATTTTTCAGTTTTCAGGCAAATAATATCTAGAACGAATTGTTATGGCCATGTTTCTAATGATGAAGAATACTGCCAGATTAAGTGTCTTGAAGAATAATAAACATCTCCTTTCCCGACACAGAAATGTTATATAGGCACATATATGCTCCCATAAGTGAAAGCACAACTGCATCGTGTCTTAGACCAGGCAGCTATCTCAAAAAGTCAGAATTTTCCTTACAAACCTGCTGCACAGTGGGTGGTGGGGCAGCTGTGGGCAGCAGGTAGGAGAAAACCCTGATAAATGTCAGCTCCTTAATTCCCTCTCATTCCCTGCAGTCACTGGCCAAAGTGCTGGAGATAACAAACAGAAGATACTTGCTGAAGTAATTATTATAAAGTGAGCCCACTATCTGTCTTGATTAAGGAAAACTATCCCATTTTCCCTAGGTAAAATCTTTGGGATGCTGTGGTGACACAGCCTTCCAGGTGCACCCTGACCTGGGTTTCGTAAAAAAACTCTACTGTAAGTCTTACTAACAAGAAGAGAAGCCAAATTTTCTCAGACTTGTCAGGAATTTCTTTTTCCCTGCTCCACTTATCACTTGTATAGTGCAGACACCCCTCCTCCTTTCAATGAGTATCAGTATAATCCATTGCTGGCGCACCAAGGTCAAAGAGAGGTGCCACTAAAATGCCACTCACCCATTGCCTTTTAAATCTCACCCTCCCACCGAACAAATTAGCTGCAAATCCTTGAGAAATTCCCAAGGAGCAAATTAGAAGGGTGGAATTGGGGCTGCAGGGAAATGCACAGCATTCCACCAGGAGGACAGCATGGCTGGAGGTGGTGCCTGGGGAGCCCAGGGGATGGCCAAAGGCAGGAGGGATGAATCATAGAGTGCTTTGGGTTGGAAGGGGCCTTTATAGGTCTTCTAGTCCAACTCCCCTCTGCAGTGAGCAGGGACATCTTCATCTAGATCAGGTTGCCTGGGAAGCTCCATCCAACCTGACCTTGAATTTTTCCAGGCATGGGGCTTCTACCACCTCCCTGGGAGACATAATGGGTTGATGGACCAGTGTGGATCAGGAATGGAAGATGCCAGGGGAGTGGGAGAGCCAGCAGTGTCTTCATGAAGATGGATTTTATCTAATCTTATAACAAGCAGAAAAGAAAACATGCCAAGGTTGCAAAGGTTTTTCTGACCCAGGGCTGGGTAAGAAGGACAAAGGCAATGTGTCCAGATGAGGTGTAACAGCAGGTCTTGTGTTGGGAATTTTTGTATTAATGTGGAGGTGATGTTCTGCAGGTCTATTTACAGAGAGGGCAGAGGAGCAAGGGTAGGACAGGCAGAAATCAGATCATGGCGTGAAAAAGTAGGATTATCTTCTAACTGTGTGCTTCTCTTACAAATGGCAACAAATTAAAAACCAGGGGAATAAACAGAGGCCAAACGAAAGCAGTTTGACTTCAACAAACCTTGGCATTAGAGGAAACCAGTTCATTTCTTTACTCCTAAAAGAATTTAAAGAAAGGTCTTATGCTCTGGTAAAAGAGGATTGCTTATGTGGTGTAGCAAAGGTTGAAGGTGAAATGGCAGCATGTGAAGTTGAGGGTTGGGTTCTGCAACAATAATTTGTTCCATTAAAAAAGAATTAATACTGTACTTGAACGTTGTGTAAGTCATGTACTCACACTGCAAAAAAAACCCCAAACACCTGGAATGTGGTTTTATAGTTTTTTTCTGCAGATTTTGGGTCATTAAGGTAACTCTGTTAGTCATCCTCTGCTTTTGTAGTTTTGCAATGATACGGTACAACAAAAACACCTCAAATGAATAAAAACCTTTGGTAGGTACTGCATAAGAGGTAATTTTACCAGGATGGTGGGATTCATATCTCACTGTTGGAGCAAGCATAAGTGTATTTCACTTTGGAAATTAACTGACAGGAAATACTGAAAATGTAATGACATTTAATGTACAAACTTCTGCCACAATGCTGGCTTCATCTCCTACTACTACTACAAAACAGCTACAAAACACATTCATTGTACTCTGTATTACCTGTGATTTTATTTCCTTCTCACTCATTTTCACTCACCTACTAACTTACTTTCCCAATAGTTCCTTAGGGTTTCTCTCATATGCAACTCCACTTCCATTCATCAACACTATTCATCAACAACACTGAAATTACATTTCAACCATTAGGCAATAAAAATCAGCAAATCCACAACTTAAAAGAAAAGAACTATTTACATGGAGGAATGTGGAGAGTGCTATCAGCAGACAAAAATTCTATCAATTGTCTTTTCTATGAAGCCTGCAAAGATGAGAATTATGCATCTTTCAATTATATATGATATGGAAGACTAGCTTCAAATATCTATATGATACTTCTCTGTAGTATGAAAGAAACTGAGCGTGCAGAATAACAACAAAAGCTGGAGTGTAATTTCACATTATCAGCCATTGCACAGCCCATAGTATCACTGGTGTGTTGCTTCTCCTTGACAATACATGAAGTTGAAACCCAAGTCATTTTCTGCTTTACTGATCCAACTGCAAGAGAAGTGTGAAATTCTGCTACTTGTTATAGCAAATACTTACAATTTTTTTGTTTTCTATTAATATTGTGGAATTGTTAGTTTCGACATTCCTCAGAATCACTGTGCCATTCTGGTTTCTATAAATGAATTCATGATCTGCAAGAAGGAAAAGAAAAGAACATTAAGGAACTCTTGAAATTGTCTGTGTAGAATCTAATTACGGGCTTGAACCCGAACTACCATTGGGAACGTTTCTCTAAAGAACATGGATTATTTTTTAATATAGCCATTGCTGTGATGTTAAAGTGGCTTCCAGGTTAGTCATTAAACAACATGGTTAGTGCTTGTCACATGTTTATTCTGCCAGATTTTTATTCTGCCACACTGTCTCAGAGCTGAATGGAAGAGGATGACCTGTTTTCAATCCAAATAGGCAGCTTGCTATATTGATAGTGTAGAAAAGAACAGGGTTGAAAAACAGTCCTTATGCTTAAAGATTTCCAAGGTTCTCCATCTCTGTAGGAATTTAATAAGTCAAATGCCTAGAAAGTCTCTGAAAGTTAAAGACAAATTACCCTCTAACATAGCAGATTGTTGAACCTAATGTTGTGCAGATCTTTCAGCTCTGCCATTTGTCATGCAAATTAATATTAGAAGGAGATTCATGCAAATAAATTGCCATTTTCACATGGAACAAGACAACAAGTTTGTTCCTGTTTGGGATTACCCTAGCACTGAAGACATCTGGGCAAGATCACCTGCAGTAGCTGCAGCACAGCCAGGAGAATGTCTTCAGTTCAAAGCTTCAGTTCAAACCTACTCAACAGAAAGCCTGGGGTAGATGTGTGAAGGAGACTCCAAATAAGGGTTGGGTGGCAGGTCAAAGGTTCAGGATGAAAAGCCATTACAACAATAAAGCGTTGTGATCTTGTCAGATGTTATAAAATAAAGCTGAGACTGATCAGTGCTCACATGCACTGCCCTACAGATAGAGGATCATGAAGTGTAAGTCCTGAGCATATTGCCATTAACAGCCTCAGGAGAAGGCTAGGTTTTATTTGCAACCTGGCTAAACTAAGTGTGATGTATCCTACCAAACTTCTGCCTCTTGTTTCAACCAGGGAAGCAACTCCTCACTGACTACCTTCACTGTGGTACTCCAGGGTGAATCCTGCAAGTGTGAGTGACACATGAATGGTTAAACATTACCCATGGGTTGTCCTGGGATGAGGCAAAGTAAGTTTAAATCCTACCAGATTCATTAAAGCACAGACCCAACTCATTGTAGTCACAAATGGATGGACACTGCTCAGCTCAGGATCCCCAGCTGAAGACAACACTGGGTCCAGAGACCAAATTCTTCCAAAATTTTGGTGTACAAACATAGCATTAATCCTTCATTACCCATGTCTTTTTATGATTTCTAAACTGATGAGGACAATCCTCATCACAGTCATTAACCATCTTTGTAAAATGCTCCGAAAGTTCAGATAAAAATTTTCCACATTCCATTTATTATCAATAAAACGTCATCTCCTACATATCACAAGTTTCCATGTAAGCATAGGTGAAAAAAAACCTCTTCTGAGATTGGGATGAATCAGATTCTGTGAGGCTAAATTGTTGCTGCAATACAGATAATCCTCTCCAAACAATAGGGTTTTAGAGATTTAAGATCCTCAGTGTCCAAATCACACCAACAGCCCTTCAGACTCCTTGGCAAAGTTCTCAAATGATCTTTTCATTTTAATGATGGAATAAATTTTATCAACAGCTTTGGTCCTGAATAAAAAACATAGGATCTGAATTAGATTAAGATTTACATTTGAGATCAGAATAATGAAGACAGTTCCTGTTTGGATTTGACAATATTAACATTTTGTCATTAGTTCTGGAGTGTTGTCCAAGGGACTGGCATTTTCATAAGCATGACTGATTATATTCAGGACTTCAAAATATTACTTCATATGATTTATGACTGAACAAACATTCTTCAACCTGGAAAAGAACTGATTGAACAGCACTAGGACTGAAGTCAAAAAATCCTATGTAGCATGGAGAAGATAAATAATGAAAGCTTGTTCCTGGCCTTTTCCAAAATAAATCTTGGGAGGCACTAAATGACATCAGCCAGTGACAGGTTCAACACAAATAAAGGGATTATTTCTTCATGCCAAAGGTAAACAATCTGTGAAGTCACAGTCCCAGAGTAGAGCAGGTGCCAGGATTGAATTTCAGTCCAAACAAGAATTAGAGAAATGGAAGAAAAATCCATCACAGATTATGGATCTTGAGGGGAGACACTTTATAGAAAGCCCTTGAACCTGAGATTGTGAGGGAGTAGAAGCATATCCTTAATTATCACCTTGAGAAATTAACCTTCTTTTTAAAATCTTCTCTAAGCATTTGCTCCTGTCCTAGGCCAGACAACAGACATCTCTGGGGTTCATTCCATCACTGACTGATTTACAACTTCAACTTCCAGCTTCTCTGTCATCTTCTACTGAAGAAATGCCTTTATGTAAACAATTTAGGAGTTGATACAATATAAGATTTTAATGCTCCCTACACACCTTGCCCATTTATATCCTTAGTTCCTTGAGGCTGAAGCATCATTTTTTATATGATGAAAATGCACAGTCCAAATTTGTATTTTCAGGTATTCCAGGAATAAGAATAACTAAGCTGAGAGGCAGAATACTACCTAATTATCAAGCATTTGGAAAGAGATTACTGTTTTAATAATCACCCTATCTCCAGAATATAAAATGTTTTCCAATTACATACTGAGTACCAGACAGAAAAATCACATTTTAAATGTGCCAGGAAAGCATTTGGATAATAGTAAGCCTCTCAGGATATTTCCTAATTACAGAAAATAAAACCAGTGATGAAACTCAGCTCAAAGTTCAGTACCCAGGTAAAGCAGTTTATTAATCTAATGAGTCTGTGAGGCTCTTATTACTTGATAACTGTTTCTTGAGCAATGCATGAACTGATGGAAGTTCCATTACTGCCCATAATGACATTGCTCCTAAATTTTCATTGCTCCCTGTGCTCCAAAAAAAACATAACACTTCCACAAATGAGGAAACTTTAAGATGATCACATAAAAGTTGCTCCATAGCTGGAAGCAGGAGATGAAAGACTTTCCCATTATTTGTTAGAGTGTAACAAGTTTAAAATCAGGTGCTAATCTGCTGCATGTATTTCTGGTATGAATACAGAAGAATAAATGAAGCAGTGCTGATTTGTTAGGGCTGTAAATCCTGCTTTTATATTCAATACAAGCCACCAACACAGCATCTGAAATAATGAGCAGAAAATTGGTCTACTTAAGAAAAGAACAAATTGATCTGCATTATATTCCAAGCAAAACACTGTGAAGTTTCACTGGTCTATAAGTCATATCATCTTAGTCCTTAAAAGAATAAATGAATAATATTCTTGGACTTGTGTTTTGAAATGTGTGATTTGTTCCAGTGCAAGATCGTTTCTTTAAATGGGACATACCTCAGCCAAAGACAAAAAGCAATGCAGCAACCTCTGACTGTAATGAATTCTGTCCAGTGAGCTGATGAGAATTTGCAGCCTGATTTATAGCTGCCACCACAGCTGATAAAGGTCATCACTGCATCTCATTTTTTATACCTGTCTTTCTTTGGGGCTGGTGTTCAGTGTAAATGATGCTGAAAATTGTAACTTTTGGGCATAAAGCCATTTACCCCATTAAATAATGGATTTCTTCAACAGCAGAGTTCACTTTGCCAACTCCTCCTCCTCTTTCAGCTTCCAGGAAATTGTCTGGTGAAATATATTATGTGTCTGGGAGTGTAGACATAGATATCTAGTCACACTTACAAAAGTGACTGATTACAAAAAGCAATGATTACTAGAAATAACAGAGCAGCCTCAGTGCTGTCAGTGTAGAGAAATGGGGGAGCCTTGGCCAAAATTTTTATAAACCTGTTAAGCAGAATAGATGAAATCAGGAAAGCCAAGACCAGTGATACATTTGCAGTGTCAGTTTCCCAGCCTCTTTGTACACATCTTTCTTAAATTCAGTCAGGAAATATGCACAGAGAGAAAGCAGATCTAGGGACAAGGAGCCTGTGTCCCTTGCAGTCACTGAGCCCTCACTGGGAGCAGAACAGGTGTGGGTCTGCTTAGCCTGGCAGCTCTGCCTACAGGTTGAGACAAAACAAAATATATGGATTGCTCTTGAGAGAACAGTGCATTATGTGCTATGGCCCCAGGGCAGGTTTTGCATTTTCAGGCAGGACCCCTGGCTGACCTTTCCCAAGGTTTTTGCATCAGAAAAGACATGGGATCTCAGGAAACCTGTCCACAGGTGCTGCCATCATGCTGACCCTGGAACTGGCAGGTGAAACTCAGGAGAAAAATCATGAGGCCATCACTGGTATCATTTAAGGACCCCAAATCACCAGCTCAATATACAGAGGCAGCCTGAACAACCAACAGAATGTTGGGCACCACCAGGAGAACAGGACAGCAGGTATCACTGGCCATGATATAAAATAAAGGAGTACAAAAAATCATGGAGAACTGATAAACTGACAGATATTAAAGGACACAGGCAGGACAAACCATCTATCATCTCTAATGCATGGCTGCCTTATCAAGGAACACTGAAAGGAGCCAGGCTCCAGTCTAACATAACATCAGCTATTGCTGTGGCTAGAGACCTGACACGGGGCTGGAGGAGCATTGTCTGAGCCAACATCACTTCCTTGTGCATTGCTGTGTGTCAGACTGGGCACCAGACTGAAGAGCTCATCACAACAGACCAGGAAATCTGGGACAATTTTAATTCTAGAAGGAGTAAGTTGAATTTATGGGTTTCCAGCTTCTCTGACAAGACTAAGCACACACTATCAGAGATGAGAGACTGCTTTATAAGATAAGAGAAGGACCTGCATGCTTTTGAGGAGAATTTTCATTATTTGTCAGAGATTACAGAAAGCAGAACCATGTGATAAAATATGAGAAGGAATAAGATTTTGAATCCAGCTCTAAAATTTATATTAAATGAAGATGTAATTTTCTATCTGTTTAGCAGCCGATGAATGAAAAGAAGGGGGAAAAAAAGTTAGAAAATTCACATGCAGCAAGTCAGCAGTAACAGTTACAGAAAG